GATCCTGTCTTTGTTGTGCCCTTATGCCAGCCCTTAAAGTCTTCGAGTTTGCGCAACATGGGCAAAAGTCATCCGCAAAATCCAGATCTTTAGTAGTCTGCCCATCGGTCCAACATATTCACCTATCCTTACCTCCTTTGGTTTGACGTATAATCCAGTCTACCCCAGTTGGGAAGATCATCGGTGATAACAGGTAGATGAGTTTTCCGTTGCTGACCACTTGATACGTGTCACTCTTGTACAGCTGTTGGGAAAGTTTGATGAAGATTTGGGGCACTGCACGCCATAGTGCTGAATTAATTTGCAAATTATTTCACAGTCAACCCTGTCGAATGCCTTTTCAAGATCGATGAAGCTGAGGGATTGTAGTTTATTTCCTATCGCTTCGATGACTTTCTGCTTCACCTTGAAAAGTCCAAGAACTAGATGGTGGTTTGAATCCACATCTGCTCCTATTCCTCACTTTGTGTCCGACAGGCTGCAGGCTGCATTTCCACTTTCTTTAGCAGCTCTCAGATAAGGTGTAGCTCTTGATCCATGATGGATTCTCTTCCTACACTGCCAGCTCTCATCTTAGAATTCATATCGCCCATTAGGATTTTTACGTCGTCATTTGTAACGTTTTTCATTGCCGTTAGCGGTTTTCGATAGCAATCTTTTTCCTTGCCTTCTTCTGAGTTGTTTGTTGAAGCAAAGCTCTGGATGACTGCAGCCTGCCTTCCATCTCTCTGAGTTGAATCCTGCTGTCATACTTCTACAGGAAGAGATTCGCTCCCGCTGCATAAGGGACTTTGCCGCTCTCGGTGGCATCGCGGTAGCCATTCTCTCAGTTTTCTGCTGGCTATCATCTGAGTGAGTGGAGTTGATTACTGATTCCCAGATGGCAGTTTGGATAGTTCACATCCATTCTGGCTGTTCTCAAGGTTTATTGGCACTTCTATGTCATGTCTTTTCATTTCTTCGGCAAATTGAGCATCCTTCCTAGCCTCGTGAGTTGTGATAAGATTCCATATGTTCATCACCACTTTTGCTTTCATCGAGAGAAGACGCATTGGTTGACTGGCTTCCAAAACGGTTTCACGGGCCCAAGTCTTTCCACATGTCCGATTCCGACGAAGATTAAGTTTGCTTCTTGTATTTTTCTTTTGATTTGATGTTTCTGTGGCGATCGGTTTGATTTTTCGGGTGGTGTTGTCAGCCCCAACCCAAACGTCCTCCCTTTTCTCGAAAGACAACTATTGAACTGTGGAACTAAGCAAGAGTCTGAAATATTAGTTGCAAAACCAGATATTCTTTAGATGATTGCGTCCTCTCACTTGTCGAAAAGTCCGGCTTAGTTTGCCACATGGAGGAGAACAGTGAATTTGGAGGTGATAGCTGATGTTCCCCTGTCAATTTTTCGCTAACAGAAGGCTACTGTCAACGTTTTAGAATTGACTTTCCTGAGTTATTAGCTAGTGCTTAATGAAAGGTGCGTCGGTGGCATAGTGGTTAGGACGCTCGCCGACCATGCATATGGCCCGGGGTTCGATCCTCGGTCGACGCATTCCTTTACCTCGCTAAGCCAGAAATAATGCTGGTGAAGAGGAGAGGTTGGGCATGAGGCTAGCAACCCCATCCTGTAAAATAAGCACTGCTACAGAAACTCCCCTGTGTTTCACTGGGGAACGTGAAGGAAATAAAAAAATAAATGAAAGGTCAGCTGAATTCCCAGTATCTCGGTAGTAACGCCGGTGACTGCGTCACTGTGAGACTCGGATTCGTTTCTCAAAAGTGAAGTGACTTCCTCCAGTATAGTAGGTAGGCCCTTTTTACAATTGCCATTTTCATCATCTTTATTTTATTATCACCCGAGTTGTCTATGAATAATGTGCATTTCCGTAAAGACTTTATTGAAACACTTCATGGACCTTCCACTAGTTTTTGTAGACTTCACACAATCATACCGATTAATCATTTTTCGCAGTTGTTGCGTCATCGCAACTTCTGTCCCCTTTTACGAATTTCCATTTGGTCATCCCGTTCTACATAACAACTCACACTGTGTATTAGATTTTCTAGAACAAATTTACCGTAACTGACTAGTCTTATGAATTCCTTGCTGAATATTATTATAATTTTTCAGCTTTTGAAAACGAATAGTTGAAAAGAGAATTTTCTTCGCTGTTAAAGTATATTTTTCGTAAATCTCAGGAAACAAGGGATTTAGGTAAAAGTATTCCTGCTTATTGAGTCCAACCGTTGAATGACGATGAAAACAACTAAAAGAGCACTGTCATGGCAAGCCGCCTAGAATGGTGAACACAGGCCAAAAGAGCCTTCTATCCTAAATCTGAATCTGACTATTACTATTCAATCTGAGCTAAGTGAAGGACTCACCTTATGATGCTGGTTACTATCCAGTGTCGAATGAAAGTAATCTCGGCAGCGTTTCCACTCAGTTTGAGGAACCACCTCTTTTGAAAGTTTCATGGGTGGAAACGCACGCCTCACGAGTGAGAGTACGACGTACTCTTACTGACACACCGACCGTGACAATAATCAACAAATCGACTATTAATATAACAGTTTTCATAACGTGTTATAAGAGGTAAAGTAAGTTCGTCAACTCATTTGGACCTCAGCCGTTTCACTGTCAACGATCAACTTGTTTATCCTTGCGGACTGAAACATATGGTGAGTAATGTAATTTTGAAGAAATATGAGCTCAGCAGTGGCTTTGTGGTGTGATTGCATGTCCTTATAATCCTATGAACAGCCGTGGGAATCATATTCTTCCTCCTCTAGCTAGGCTGTGTTAATACCAGCCTTGCCACCACGTTAGATTGGCAAGACTAAAGAGTCAGCAAGTAGTGTGCCCAGAGCTCAGATCTCACAGGATAGGTGGCCACACAGAGGTCATCAGAGTTACTGTTAGTTGAAGTCAACCGAAGGCAAGCTTGAATTTGTTCAAGCAGCCTAACTAAAAGGTTCTCCAGATTGACATCCCACTTTAATCCACCCTCCTGATACCAAACTATGACGGTAAAGCTAAAATAAACAGATGGAACTAAAATAACTAAATACACTACTCTTTCTCCATACTCTGTTGCTGGTATTTAAAAATTTTGTTTCTACGAGTTTGAAGGCACTGATACAGTGCTGCTATCCTCTACTTATTTGGAATATTGCTAGCTCACCTGGTGAATAACGGAACCACCTCTATAATGAAATCTGCTGACAAGTGCAAAGTTGGTCTCATATACAACTGGATATGTCACAATTATGGTGTACTTACCGGTGACTTTGAAGTTTTATGGACTTTCAAACACTTTATGAATCATTCACTTATAATTATTGTTCATTCTGTATCTCTTATGTTTCCCGTCAGCACTTGTACAAAATGCTACTTACCTTCCACAATTAACGCAACCATTTACAATTCCCGCGTGAAATTGACATACCGTATTTTTTTCAGTTGCAGTTTGGATTTGACTTATTTGGTCGAAAGCAGATCTCAAAAATTATCAATTTCCTTATTTGTACATTTCTTTTAAAATGTTTCTCTCACATTAACCAGTATTCATTCTATTTCTAGATTAACAAATCATTTTATATATTCTATAAATATAATATAAAACTGGCTGGTTTCTGTTCCGGAAATAAATATTTATAATTATCAAGGCTCTGGTGGTATTCTTTTAATAGAATACTGGGCTTTTAATCATTTTTGCTATCATGGTGCTACTACTACTATCATCATGATTGTTCGATTACATATTCCATTCATTGCCTTCAGAAGGGGAGAGGAGATATGCAGTAGAAAGCGTTCCAATCACTTCCTCGGTTACAGGAGAGCTTAAGTATCCATACAACGAGTCGTTTAGGAACATACCTTATTAAATACTTTCCCAGAAGACTGGGTAAACTGTAAGTAATATAAGTCGCAAATAAAACCCTGAATGAAGCTCATGATTCGCCAAATGGATTGTAACATGAAGCATAACAAATATTGTGATGTGAATAGAATCGGTGTCCATGGGTAACTATATTGAAACCGTGTAATCTGGAAATCACAAATTGTTTAACTGGTCGATTTAAATCTGATTCAACGCATTGTTAGTTAGCCCAAGTGGCTGATGTGCTAGGCTGCAAACGAACGAAACAACCAGCTGGTGTGCAAATCACTTCAGTTTAACTTACTAGTAGGGACTGATGGCTACTTTGACTGGTGTCAAACTTTTCATATCGGCAGTCAATAGTACATAGCAAGTAAAACTGTGTTAGTCATATGATTTTCCTAAGCATCTAAAATCATTTTTTGTCAGAAGTAAAGGCTGATAAAGTCACCCAGTCTGATGGTAAGGCAAAGTTAGGAAGACATTTTCTCATTCCGTTCTAAGTATCTTGTTCACTCTCACGGCATATATTGAAATATTCTACTAAATATATGCGATAACAGTAGTGAGCAAGTTCATCCATGGACTGAGAGACCCAGAACAAAGTAATATACTGGACCCAATGTCACTTGGTTGATGGCAGTAAGCGGTAAAAATGCATTTTATCCTGTTTGAAGCTGACCATCTTGAAGTGACTCCATCCCCTGGATCTTACTGCTAAATACCATTAATTGAATAACGTTATAATAACCTTCAAGCATTGTTGAGTTGTCCATACCAGGACTCAACGTATCACCAATGACAGCATTTTAGTTTAATGAAACCATTCAGCGGGAAACTCGTATCAGAGCTTCAACAAAACAAGCAGGTGATAACTTAAACGCATAAAACCTAATCTTTTGCCTGTCAATTAGTGAATTTGATGGAGCTAACATTTGGAATAGTTAATTTTCCTGTTAGTTGCGTATTTTATCCCTAATTCCCAGTATCCTACCCACGAATAAGCTTGCAGTTCGTTGTTTAAACTTAAGTGGACGATTCATTTCAAACAGCTGACTAGTGAAAACCGTTTCTCCTCAGAGGTTCGTTTGATATTAATGGAAAGCAGAAATAACAATTACTCAAGACATCAGAAATAGGTAATGGTGAACAAAACGATAAATGTGAGCTCAGTAATTTGCGAAATCACTTCGAATAGGATTGGAGACAAACAATTCCCAGAGTCTCTATAATCTTACACTTGAAGTTGAAGTACTTAATCATAACAAAAATCATCACAAAATACTTGAACTGGACAAAACTGCAAATTCTTCAAATGGAACTAACAGAAATATCTCAAACATCAACAACAAAAATGCCTGTCTTCAATGTTCATTATGCGAAAAGCGGGAAAAACAAATGGCCACGTTTACAAATATAATTTATTGTATTCAAAAGCGTTTTACTTGATTATACTGGAATTTCTATTCGTATAATTGTTATGAAAAGCAAATAACACACATATATATTGAGTATTATACTAAAAAAAGCGTAAATACGTATAAACAAGTGCGTTTATATCTGTCTGTGTGTATTTTCAAACAGCAATGCAGTGGACGAAATGTTCAAGGTGAACAAGGTACATTGAAACATTGAACACAGAAAAGGAAACACAATAATCTGAGATTCTGTTTACTCATTGAGTATTGTAATAAATAGCAGTAATGTATGTAAATATCTCTAAGCAATTAATAAATGAAAAGTGTATAAAGGTTAAGCAAAACTCTTAAAAATGAAAAGCGTTTATTAAAGCATGATTCTTTTCTTTATTGAATAGTATTAGTAATATTCAGCAACTTGTATATCTGCTTTTGTTTTAATAATTCTCAGTTTATGTTAAAGAATGAAATAGAAAATATTCTATCAGTGAGTAACAATATTTGAAATGATTTATTAATAGTGATAACAATAACATCAATAATGACAGCAAGTTGCTATTAAATAGAGAAAGAGAATACATAAAGTAGTGAGTTTTGTTAATTCGAAAATATATTCACTCCTTGTTGCATTTCTCACATATAGAGGACAGTGTTGACAAACTATTACAGGAGGAAAAAGGGGAAAAAAGCACAGAAAGATAAATGAGTTATCGAGGTGTTTGAGTTAGTTGGAATATCTTTTACTACTTGTTAGTAACAACAAACTATTCGAGAAAACTTTCACTTACTTCATCTGACTCGGCCTAGTTCGGCTAGGAACTACTGAGTAATTACATGATGAACATTTGTTTTTATGTTGACCGATTGACTGGAACAAACTTCAATATACCGTATGCGTCTAAAGTGAAATCCTGGTAATTGATTCAACTAATACAGACTCATTTTAGTAATTAACTGTTTTCTTCAGATTAATTGATAGATGGTGGCTAGCAGTGGAATTTAGGATACGCATTTCGTCCTATTCGAGGCTCATCATCTGGATGTACCTGCATTCCCACCGAGGCTTGAGACCCAGTGTCCATAGTTTCAAACGCCAAAGCGTTATGCAGCTGACGAGTCCCAAATAGGACGAAATACGCATCCTGGGTTCCACTGCTAGTCACCATCCACCAATTAAGCTCTAATTACATGCCCAGATATCGTTGAAGCATCTGCACAAGAAGCTGACATGTCAACCTGAGACTGAGCATTTCGGTTCAATCAATCGACGGGAAAATCTAAAATTCAATTAAGATGTTTTCATCAGTGATTAATTACCAATGAGTAAGATCACAGAATATTTCTTACTTCTGAATACAATAATCAGCCATTCAAATAATCTAAGTGGCAAAATCTCTGGAGAAGCTGGTTTATTTTGTATTATTGGCCAGTATTCCAGTATACTAGAAATTAGTATGCCATTATAATTCCACCGACAAAAGAGTGCACACTGACTTCATCTACTGGGTGGAAAATTATATCCACTTCAATATCTCCATCATAAGTCTATTAGGATGAATATTGATTGTATGATTGAGTTTTTAAAGATGTTCTAACTCTTGATAGCAGTCATATCAAATGCTTCTCTTCATCAATCAAACCTCATATTTCAAGATAGATTACATCACGAATCTATATCACTCAAAGAACCATTGAAAGCTGTGGCGTATTGGACGACTGTTTCACCACATTCAGGGGTGAGCATGTATGAGAAACCTCCAGACATTGAATGTATGACCCTCTGGTTTTGAAATCAGTTACTGAGTCTTTTGACCTATGATTTCTGACTAGAATTTTCAAAATCGCATCATTTCCATCCGATATCATTGATGGATATCTGCGTTAACATCCAACGTGGAGAGTTCAGCCAGTTATAAATTATTCATTAGAACCTTAGGAAGTCAAATTTTGAATTGTGAAGATTTTTCTGACGAGATCTACTTTGAAACCAATCAAATCTCTCGACAGAAAAACACTGGAATACTTCAAGTATATTTTGAATTGTGTTTTATGTGTATTGCCATACATATCTCATTTCTATTTAAACATGTTCTACATTCTGTTATGCAGAAGTACGGTAAATTCAAATTAGATACATTCATTTTAATATAAAAGTTTTATATTTTTCCCAATGAATGAAAAACCAAACGACATTCTTTTTATTGATGACAGTTCGCTATTTAATACTAATAGCTTTATCAAGGTAGTATCATTGAACCAGAATTTACAAAATCTCAGCTTGAATATGGCAGCTTAATCATCGTTCATCAGCATTGGGTCACTTTTGTGTTGTCAAGTTGGCCAATCGGTAAAGATGACAAAACCAGGTGTAGATTGCTGGATTTGATAAGTGTATAAGATCATAAAAGCAGCGTGTGTTTACATAAGGAAATTGCTTATCATATTCATGTTGATTTTGTCATTTCATGGGCGTTTGAAGTGGGGGGAAGGCTGTTTTAATCAGGTCAGATTCTGTTTTAGTTTATCATTCCTATTCAGACAATTTGGATTCTCTTCGATATGAAGTGTTTCTCGTGGTGTTAGACGTTCTCTGAGATTTCTGGAGCTTTTCTGGATGATTTCAATATCATCAGAATCAAGTTTGTGACCTGATTTCATAGCGTTGAAAATTTATGGCTGATGATTTTTCAATCTTTTCTAGTTCAACTGAATTTCTCAGTGGTCGAAAAGAGGCTCTACGGTGTTCATTTCTTCTGATTTTGATTTCTCAAGATGTTTGTCTGATGTATATCGCATCACATTCGAAGCATTTTATTGCTTAAAACGATTCAATGTTAAATAAACACAACTTTGGAGTGTGCTGCTCGTCACTTTGTCTTCTTACTGGTCCATACTGTCTACCTACTAACCATGTTGCATCCTTTGGATTTTGCGAAAACCTCTCACCCTCCTCCGAAGACTATTCTACAGGCAGTTTACTACTTCTACCACTGTAGACTCGATCCCAGCAGTGAACATTCACTAACAGCATCGGGAACTATTGAGGATATACAAGATTTATTTTTTTATTTTGATTACAACTTGATTCCACACCGTATTTTCAGTACAAGTATGGCATTTTCAGCATGGATATCGGTAGCCCAAATTTCAGGCCGACCATAGATATTGGGTGTGCGTCGGCAGGGGATCGAACCCCGGACCATGTGCATGGTAGGTGAAAGTCCTAACCACTGTGCCACCGACGCACAGATGCAGGAGTAAACGCATTACTCAAACTGTGGCTGCCTCCGTTTGTTTTACCAAGCTTACATTTGGTTCGCTGTCATCTAGCCCCTCTTTGATGCCCAAGGTATCAAGTGACAGATTGTTCAATGTGGATGCATCTTAGCTGTACTGCCCGCAGATGTACTAAAAGATATTACAGACCTAATTGACAGTGCTACTGCGGACCACTAGTATGACTGACTCAAAGCAGTTTCGATTCAGAGGATTGGTGTGGTGAGAGCTGTCTACTAACCAAATTGATAGACAGTAATTACGTCAATATTTACGTTCCCAAGATTTGTCCTGAGAAACAACCAATCAGAAGACTGTGTTTGTTTGTTTACGTATCCATAGTAATGTACATGAAAACATATATAAATATGCGTTGATTTCCTTAATAAATGATCTGTTGCCTGACTCTTGCCTTCTGTCGTTACATTAGTGTTTCAGAAGAGGAAAGGATTCATCAACATGTGAGTTAGGTTCAAGTACGCCGTCTTAGCTCCTCGGGCATATGCGTCAACTAATTAAACCATATAAGGTTGACGAAGTGGTTTTACGACAGATGTGGCTCCAATGACTACGACGAAACGCCAGATAAATTTCGACTATCTCCTATAAATCCGTCAACCTATATGAACTAAGTGAGCTTGCGGACAAAATCCTAGACGAATTGCCTGACACCAATGTCTGCAATCCGTCAACACGTAAGGAGTTACCAGTTCAAGTTGTGTCTGCTGAGGGCACACCTGTATTATCAGCTATTTCGGCACTATCAAACTAGATGGAGAAGTTAGAAACTGAGATGTCCAGCCCATGTGCCACGTCAAGGCAACGTCGACGGTCAAGACAGCTGACCAGGAGATCTAATGTTCGAAATATTTGTTGGTATCATAGAAAGTTTGAAAATCGAGCTATTCGGTGTGTAAAACGGTGCAATTTCAGTAGTAGTGACTCGGCTCAGGGAAACTGTCCATCCAGCCAGTGATCACAACGCCTGTTACTGGCAATCACTCAAGTCGCCTGTTCTATGTGAGGTATAGAACTACAGACACACTATCCCCGGAGGACACAGGAGTTGAAGTTAGCGTAATACCCTATTCACTATCCAGGCGGCCTTCTAGCACAGCAGAGAAACGTAGGTGTGATGAAGAAGATAGAATAATTTTACTAGTATTGCAAATCTTTTAACTCTATAGAATGATAAAATAGCGATTACAACTGTTTCATTGTGGACGATTTTGAGTTATCGTGTAAAATGTCTTCCAATCAATGGAGACCCGTTTGTCTGAAGTTATCTGTACCTCCTAGAGTTTCTCAGAATTTAAGTTAATGGATATTTCGGGCTGTTGTTATGCTTGAGTTGAAATACTCGTTTACTCCCACTATTCACCAACCTAATCCTAATTTAACATTGTTTGTCGATGTAACCGATAGGTTAGCATGCGTAATGCAAATGTCTTGACAACCTTGACTAGTAAAGCCTTATAACTTCTTTTTTCCTTCACGTTCCACAGTGGAACATAGGGCTTCAAGCTAGTGGCTTGAAGTTTCTCTAGCAGGGTTTATTTTACAGGATGGGGTTACTAGCCTCATGTCCAACCTTTCCTTTTCACCAGCATTATTTCTGGCTTAGCGAGGTAAAGGAGTGAGTCGGTAGCCGGGGATCGAACCCCGGACCATGTGCATGGTCGGCGAGCGTCCTAACTGCTATGCCACCGACGCACCCCTTATAACTTGGTTGACTGTTATTTCGATAGTACTTCTTAGTGCATAATATTCACTTAAACTTTACGAAATCATCATGCAAAAAAAGCCACTGATTAACTTACCTCACTTTCACTAAACAATGCCTGGGATTGTTCATTTTTCGGTGTTGCCTTGAAAACTTCAAATAATGTTTGAAGTCGTGCACAACATATCACATAACTATCGAATGGTATACTTCCATCACGACGTGCAAAACGCATAACCAATGTAGCGAATATTGCATTATTAATCGAGAAGCCTAAATAGAACAATTAGCGAAAAAAATATTTGTAAAAATATATATGCAGAAATTACAAATGACTTGAATGAGTTGAATTCACTTTTGAAAAAAACCTGAAACAATGACTGGTCAGAGTCATAATCCAATAGGAGGCTGATGAACGCGGCCTCAGACGGGAGAAATGACCGTCTGGTGTTTGGATAACCTCGATCTGGCTAGCAAGCACTACCGGTTGATCTGGTTGGTGTGGGACTACTCATTTCAATCACAGTCAGTAGTATGTGGTTTTATGCACATATATGCTTACTTTCTTGATTACTATTTATGCTATCAATCAGATCACATTGGGTGATCGGAATAATTTAGTTTTCAAAGAAAATAATGGTGAAATCTCACCCTGACGAACTGTGTGTAAATTTCAAAATAGCGAATTAGTTAATTGATTAATTAATTAATTAATATGCAAATTGCTAATTCGATGTAATGAATTGTTATCACAGTTCATCTCAAGTAGCCAGTCAGCACTCATTGGATTTGAGCATTGATTCATCTCTGTGGGTCGAGTTAAACCAGGTAGGCCAATGATAACGTCGGCCACCACAAACGAGCGAAACGACCGTTCGGTGTTTAAATCACTTCAGTCTTGCTGGCGCGCCAATCGCCAATCACCATCAACGGTAGAGAATTGAAAAAGGTTACTTCATTCACTTATCTAGGGAGCATTGTATCAACTACACGAGGAACGGAAGAGGATGTCAAATCGAGAATCGGAAAGGCGAGAAACACATTCATCAACCTGAAACCAATCTGGAAATCTTCGTCACTCAGCCTGCATCAACAACAAAATTCGGATTTTCAATACAAACGTCAAGTCAGTCAGTTCTTCTATACGGATGGATCAGAAACTTATCGGCGGGTCACAAAGAATATTTCCAACAGCCTGTTGCAGACCTTTATCAACAGCTATCTTCGTTCTATACTCAAGATCAGATGGCCACCGGAAAGAATCACCAACAAGAAACTATGGGAACAAACAAACAAAACAAGAACCAATCGCCAACCAACAAATATGCAGGAGAAAGTGGAGATGGATTGGACACTCGCTGAGGAGGCCGCTCGGTGACATCAGGCCAACGCTCAAGTGGAACCCGAAAGGGAAGTGGCGAGTGGGACGTCCGAGGGTGACATGGAGGAGATCGTGTGAAAAGGAGCTGAAACAGTATGGACTAACATGGATGCAGGTGAAAAGTACAGCAGAAGACAGAAGCAAGTGGAGACGTGTAGTTGAAGCCATTTGTTCCACTAGGAACCCAAGGGAACGATAATATAACAATAATAGTCTTGCTGGCGCTAGTAAGCATTGATTACTACTTGGCTTGAGGGCTATTCATCTATTCATATCAAGCACTAGTAAATAAGCCATGTTGCTACGGTGAATTAGTTACTGCCAAACTAATGAGTAGCTATCAACCAGATAGTGCTAAATTCACTTCAAAGCATTATGATTTATGCAAATGTTGCTGAACATTGAATCGTTTGTTTATTCAAAAAAAACTGGTCTCCATTTGGTGAGATACAAGAAGCCTACCATTAATTATTTGTATACTGGTTGGCCGTATTGTTGTACATTGTATTAACGTTTATTTACAGATATTGGCATTGGGAAACAATTTTATTTCTGTTTCGTTATCCGACCATTTTCTGTCATTCCGCGTCGGTTACCTTGCATAGTCTTAGTCTTCTGAAACAAGCGATAGGTCCAGGATCTATATGGTCTGGATATTTGACAACTTATTATTTTTATTTCTTCCGTTCTGACTGTTGAACATGGATTATCAAACCTTAGAATTGTTAGTATCGGTGGAGTTGCTAGCCTCACGTTGGTTAGCGATTAGTAAAGTAGTCGAGTTTTGAGCAGGTGTCAGTCGCGAATCAAACTCAGACCTCCTGTAAATATTATTTTCGAATAAGCCTTTACATTATTCCCATTTATGAGGAGGCTTGGTGTTACAGAAATGTAGAGGCGAAACTTGTATTTTCTGAACCATAGCAGTACCTTGAATTAGTGCAAAATAGTTGTAAATAGAAATTCTTAAATTCATAATCAGTTGATCCCCAAGCTATACGCTTGATTACACGATTCTCCTGGGAAACAACCTAGCAAGCAGCATATTAAGTAGCTTGATTGAATATTTGGATTCAATCAGTGATTAGTTTGTACTTTTACAATGTGTATACATACAGACTGTCTTGTTTTGCAGCCGTTAACTTACGCACACACTCTCAGTCTGTAATTCAATCACACTGGTTAGATAAGTTCTAAATCCTCTTTCTTCTGAATAATCTTGACTTTTGATTCTACTCAAATATACAACTTATCAGAGTACATTATCAATTAGCTCAGTCTTTCTTTGTAAATTTAAGTTTTCTCGTCAGTACTTAATTAAGTTAGGTAGAGTACTGATTTTTTGGGTAACTAGGTAAATGACGTTGTATAAAGGCTGGTATAGCACAGCTTGTCAATAACACTATTAGTACCTTAAAAGTTCTTATCTAAGTACGACACATAGTAGTAAGAATTGGCTAACAGACTTATATAGGATTTTATAAATATTCATGCGCAGTTAAGTCATACGGCAAAGTTAAACTTTAAGCACCACTAACTACCAATCAGCGAATGACCTCGAATGCACCAATCACGTGAAAGAGGCATTTTTAATTACGGAATACATATATTTATGAAAAATTTCCATAAAAACTGTATAAAAGTGTTACAGAGGATACCTTTCTCTCAAATGTGATAAAAATAGCTCTCAGTTTTAGGTTGGTGTATCAACAGAGTATAATTCCATTGTGGGTAAAATTTACTTTGATAAAGTTTCACAGTGTTATACAGTAATATTTACTGGGCAATAGATTGTGCTCGAAACGTCATCAGTAAATATTACTGTATAACACTTTGAGACTTTATCAAAATAAATTTTACCCACAATGGAATTATACCCTACTACAGTGTAGAAGTTCTATTTTTATATCAACAGCTGGAACATTTATTCAGATGTTGGTTATTCTATGCGCAAAAACACGTTGCGACTACCATTATCCTCACCGGATTCTCACCTGGCTAACAGCCAGTAATCTATATTTTTCAGTCTTGAATGACTTTGAGGGTTACCTTATGGTGAGAGCTGTCTACTAACCAAAATTGGTAGTCAGCAATTTACGTCACTGTTTACTTCCCAAATCTTGGTCATGAGAAAGAACAATAACAAAGCTTAACCTTGAGGAGCTCAACAACCAATCACAGCAGACTTAGCGTGGTCGAATACGATTAGTAGAAACGGCAACAAAGAGATGACAGAATAACCTTCAGCAGGAAAACGACCAATCAGAAAACGTTACCTCTCTACTAACAATAACGAATAATAATGTGCATAAAAATCCATAAATATCTGTTGATTTTCTATATAAGGACCTGTTGCCTGGCCCTTGTCTTCTGTCGTTACAACCTTAACTGAACAATAACACTAGAGATGACAAAGGGGGAAGAAAGAATAAAGTATCGAATGAGTTTTGGATTGCTACACACCAACAATAGTGGCTATTTTCACTTTTGTCCTGTGGCCAGATTTTGATCTAACTAATCTAGCAGTTTTGTCCAGCGATTACACATTAAATTCAATAGTCAATTTCTATATGACTGGAAATTTCAAAAATTTCCGCCATATTTAAAATAGTAGATATATATATTAATGATAAAAAAATAAACGATTAAACCAATAAATTTATAATGATTAATAAATTCTATTTTAACTTACCAACATGTTTCAGTGCATTTCTTAATTCAATTGAATTCATTGAACCACTTTTATCTGCATCAAATTGTCTAAATGCAGACTAGAATTCAAAATTAAATTTTTGTTTTGTTTTGAAAAAAAATGGAATAAAATTAATGTTCTATTAAACATTCATTCAAATATCATCAGATAAATTAATATACAATATAAAGAGAAATAGTGTTCACAAATGTACATTGAATATTAGGATTTCTTCAAAAAAGTCATGACCATTGACGTTCATCCAGTGAAGTGTGAGGATGGATGTCCCATTGGTTGGGGTCATGCTAAATCACGAATCGGTAGAAGTTGGAATTCATCTGCTGGCCATTGAATTGGGTCCGGTCCCAGTGGCTGAATGGTATACGAGCTTGCCTTGTAACCGGAAGGTCCTGGGTTCGAGCCCTGGCAGTGGGTGCGTACTACCGATGATTCCCAAACTAAGATAAAACAGCTGTCCCTGTGTCTGGTTTTCAATGGTTCTCTAACTGATATCAATCCGTGATCAACTCATAAAATCAGAACTAATCCTTACAAACCAACTATAGAAAATTTAATTTAAACAGTGAACAGTCACAGTGAACAATATATATATATATATATATTGTTCACTGTGACAATCAGGATTCGCATTCTTTTGACGAAGGTGTGGATGAATGTGCTCAAACTCACCACTGTGTGGTATGTTGGCGAAACCATGAATCATGATGAACCCTCAAACAAATTATGTGGCTTATGAACTAATACGCCAATGCTCTCAAAATGAACCCCTACAAATATGTAGGACCGTTAATTTTTGGTTCAGTTGTGAACACGAATTATATCAGTTGATTCATTCCTATGATTCTTGTAATATTAATAGCACTATGATAGGAAATAAGTCGAATATTACCTATCTTGATATCAGTTTCCATTCAAATCTTTCTTGATCGTCCTACATCTTGCTAATTTTTAAAGCAAAATCTTTCAAGTATTGGTTTGTAGGAATTTGGTTGATTGGTTACAGGATATCATCATTAATTGACATTGCTTAGAGAACCATTGGAAAACCTGGGAGTACTGAACAGCTGTTTCGTCCTAGTTTCGGACTCTTCATCAGTACGCACCCATCGGGGTTACAAGGCGAGTTCGTATAACATTAAACCACTGGGACCCGATCCAATGGCCCATGAATTCTAACTTCTACCAATTCACGATATAGAGCAACCGCTAGCCAATGTCTTCGGCGAGTATCTGTCCTCACACCCGACCTGCTGAACCCTACTGGTCACGACTTCCGACTGGAACCCCAGGTAACCACCTACCTGAACAGGGCCAGTCGCCAGTGAGCATCTCATTGTTACTCAAGTATTGGCAGAAGTTCCTGGGTTCGAACCCCGGTGGATGCGTAATGCTGAAGGGTTCCAAACTAGGACGAAACAGCTGTTCAGTACTCCCAGGTTTTCCAATGGTTCTCTAAGCAATGTCAGTTCATGATGAAATCCTGTGAGAAAAATCTTTCGTTTGACTAATTACATACGGAAGTAGTGGCTTTTTGGCATAACTCATCCGTTTACAATGCATTAATTCATATATTCCACCCATTCTTCTTTAATGTTCCCCCCTTGTCTTCCTTTGATTTCAAAGGCTGTAAGCAGGGGTTCTTCATATGCCTTCAACTCATCTTACTAATACTGCTACTGATAGGCATATTAATTCTTGAAAGCAATCGACTAAAGTCATCTTCTCGGATATCGAACCTTCGCATTATTCGCAACTATCTCCCTCTGTATCATTACGGGCGAAACCGGAAGAAATATCATGCGAATCTATGCACGTACAGCTAATAAATATAAAAAATTTAATTGTACCACATATTTAACGAGGATGTCGTGTGAAGAGAGGTGCGAATGTCAGAAACGAGCTTAAATAAAACCTACTTCACAATTAGTAAATATATAGAAACTTATTACCATAATAATAAAAAAATAATAATGACACAGTCGTCGTATAAGTATCCCCTTCATGGAAGCTAACATGTTAACACTGGCTGGACATTGCGGTTCAATTAATTAACGGAAAAGTCAAGCTTGAATTATCAATAAATAACAACTGACAACCGTTGTGCAAGAGGTGGTTCTTGTGGCCAATGTGGTCTAGTGGATAACGCTTAGGTGTTTGAAACGATTGGTACTGGGTTCGAGACTCAGAAGGATCACTGTCACTCACTGGGGAATGCAGATGACGAGCCCCACCACCAGTTTAAAACATTTAAACCCTTAGAATGTTTTTATTTTTGAGGAGAGCAATTAAACCCTATTTGAAAAGTATACATTCCACTTCTTCATTCCTTCGCCTTCTGAGGGGAATATAAGGTTTGAAGCATAAACTCTTTGAAGTCTCAGTATCAGTGGTGTTTATTTTTACAGAGTGGGGTTGCTAACCTCTTGTCCAACCTTCCCTCTCTACCAGGTAGGCTGACTACGGGCTAAGTAAGGTACTTAAAGGTGCTTTGCTGGGGACTGTTGGCGGTTCAGTGGTATAACAGTCATCAAGTACGCGCTTGGTCAGGGGTTTGATTCCCAGCCGATGCACTACTAAACCTCGCTTAAAAGGGTATTAAGCCTGATAAACAGGGAAGGTTGGGCTATGTGAGGTACAAAGTAACACCACGGTTACTGGAACTTCAAGACTCACACTAGAAACCCTGTTATAAGTTCCGCTTAGATGTATACAACCTGTATTTGCCTAAATGAATAAGTAAATACCATGGGAAGATTAGATGAAGGTGTTACGGAGAAAAAATAATTCAGAAATAGTATGGCCCGCCCGAGGGTGACTTAGAGGAGATCGTTCAAGGAGGAGATCAAAGACTACGGGAAATTATGGACCCAGCTAAAAAGGACAGTAGAAAATAGAACAAAGTGGAGATGTTTTGTTGTTTCTTATATTCTATTCGAAACCCAGGGGAACAATAATTGTTTAATAATAAATAATAATCCTTTAAGATATTCAACTAAGGTCACAGTCACTGTGTATTTAAAACTTTAGAAGTTTTAAATCTGTATAAAAGCAACTGTCTTTTTCTAGTGTCTATTCACACAGTGTTATTTTTGAGAAACAGGGGGAAGGTGTTCTTCCAGTAACCATCTGATAATCACTGATACAGAAATAGAACTTGAGCGTTATGGTAGAGTATAATTCCATAATGGAGTAAATTAATTTGACAAAATCTCACAGTGATACAGTATTTTTATTCATTAAAAATGCATAACCAGCTGTTATACGAAACAAAAACATCATTGTTACAACTTACCTTCCATACACGTAAAAGATCCCATAACTTTCGGAATTCACTGAAACTTAACATACCAGATCGATCGAACTAGAGATGAAAAACTTGGTTAAAGAGTGAGCGGTTGTTTTTTATCAAAAGCAATTCTACTCGTAAATATTTTGACACCCGTGAAATTACGTATAAAAAGTGAATCATAACTTTATTCGACTCAACTGTTATCAATACCGGTTATTATTATTATAATTATTGTTAATAATCCCTTGGGTTCCAGTTGGAGAGTAGGGCTTCAGTAACACGTCTCCAGCTCACTTTAGCTGGCTCCATAATCGTCCATTAGCTTTCATCTCCTCTTAACACGATATCCTGCATGTCAGTACTGCATCTGCCAAATGAGTCCCACTCACCTGTCTGGTGTGTGATGTCAGTCAACGGTCTTCTTAGCATCTGTCCAATGCATCTCTTTTTCCTTCGGTAAATTTGTCGGGTTCCTTGCCACAGTTCCTTGTTGCTTAACCTCTCCGGTTGGTCGTGTGATCTTCAGTGTGAGACGAAGGCTGGTGAAACTATTGAGTTGCCTAGGCCAGAGAAGATTGATTGGTAATTCAACCGTAGGCCTAATAGCTGATATTCAGGTGACTAAGGCAATCTAACCACATCTTCGCTGCTACGCATAAACATGTTTAGATTTATTTCTTGATACTACTTATAAGTAGTTAAAATAATAGTGTGAAAAATGAAAACTGGGTTCGATAATCATTACATGTGAAGCATCAACTGGAGTCAAAACACAATCGGAGCAAATAGTCCTCGTTTTATTCGGTTAGATTTCATCACTAACAGATATTAGTTAGGAGACCACTGAAAAGCTTATAATACTGGATAGCTGATTTGTCCTAGTTTAGACCTCTTCAGCAATGTGCTTTCAAGAATCCACAAGAATTTTCGACCGCAAGTTGGTTCTCATTAATGAGTCCTAACATGGACGAGACTAATAGATTAGACAGCACATATTCCGTGAATAAATACTTCTGAATAAGGTGATGACAGAACACTGCTCGCCAACGAAGCATTCGGTTGAATTAAACAGTAGACACCATGACATCAGACAATTACATGTTTAAATCAAGGTTAATTAACAAGTGTTGGCTTGCAGGGATTTGGCTGGTTACAGACTTGATTATGAGCTTATGTCAGTTAGAGAATCACTGGGAAATCAGGGTGTGTCAGACAGCTGTGTCGTCCCAGGACTCTTAACCGAAACGCGCCCTGCAGCGTTAGAACCCAGGACTTCCCGGTTACAAGACGAGCTCGTAGACCATTAAGCCATTGGGTCCTGGTTCAATAGCTCATGAATTCGCCATATACATATAGCCCAACAGCAGACCAATGTTATTGGCGAGTAACTGTTTTTCTACTTGACTTGAAAGATCCCGCTGGTGACGATTTCAAACTAGATCTCCAGGTAACTTCCTGCATACAGCCAGTCGCTAGTGATCAAACCTGTAATAAATCAAGGTTTCACCAAAATTATACACATAAAATACATACAGCCGTCGTTTTAAGTTGACTTTAGAACTGGGCAAAGCAATTCATCGAATGATACAGTCTAGTGATTTTTCACAAACAGTCAGTCTCGAATAGACGAAACTGTGCAATAAAAATATTCTACAATTTCAGCGCGAATCAGTATAAATTTGGAAAATGATACCACACCAATCTATGTAGTTTCATCAATGCCATTAGAATGGATTCATAAAAGTGACTATGTCCTGCTCCATGTTATCCATACTGTTTCACTCCTTTCACACGATCTCCTCCATGTCACCCTTCCACTGACGACCAACTCGCCGCTTCCCTTTCGGGTTCCACTCGAGCATGGCCTGACGGGATGTCACCCAACGGCCTCCTCAGCGAGTGTCCAATCCATCTCCACTTTCTCCTGCTACTTTACTGTAACCAAATTTTCCATAGTAACAGATTTAAAGGCTTCAGATCTCTTCTTGGGCCAAAAGTCTGAGGGATTTATTCTACTGATTACTGATCTGATACAGAGTGGCTGAAAACCGACTAATATGGTGCTGTCACATTCATATTCTGTTACACCTTATTAGCTGTGTGTTTCCCTTTTTTCCGTAATATAAAAAAAACGGAAAGTGAGGTCGAGCTAACAAGGTGTGATAAGGTATGCGTGTGGCAGAGTCACGTTAGCTAGTTCTTAGCCATTCCATAGAGCTTTTATTTGCATCGGCTGGTCAGTGATAGAATGCTTGCCTAACGATGCACGTGGTCTGGTGTTCGATCATTGGTCAACATAGTCCTAAACCGCTTAGTGTTTTTACTGGTCGCTAGTACAGCCGGAAAAGAGGAAAGTCTGGATTTATAACCTAGCAACAGCATCTCCACAGAATCCTGAAAATTCGAGGCTCTATGTTCCTCTACGAACCCAAAAAGATGAAACAATAGGGTTACTATTCATTCGTTTCCCAAGTGTTAGGGATTTCATCAGTCGGGCAGCCTACACTTCACTATGCGGCTGTCGTATCATGGATTAATGAAAGATAATCTCACAGGCTATTGACTTAAAAATATTCATGTCTAATTAAACCTCAACTTGCGGAATCCTTCGAAGTGAGGACAGGAGTAAGACAAGGCTGCCTACTATCGCCAATGATTTTCCTGATTGCAGTAGATTGGATAATGCGACAAACAGTGGGCACTGAGGCAGCAGGCGTAAAATGGACTCACACAAAAAACTTGGAGGATCTGGACTTCGCCAATTATATATGTCTGATTTCCCACAAACTGGAAGATATGCAAGCGAAGAGCAACAAGTTGGACATAGGAGAAGCATCAAAGATAGAAATTCAATTCGGGTGAACATAGAGAAAACAGAGGTAGGTGATGAAGATTCCTGGTCAACAGCAACAGCAACAACAACAACAGACAATAATCAGCATAAATGGGAGGAACCTGAAAGAAACAACCTCCTTCACCTACCTGGGAAGCATCGTTTCAACTACAGGAAGACGGAATTGACGAGAATATCAAAGCAAGAATCGGAAAATCAAGACAAGCTTTGACTACTCTCAAGTCTGTGTGGAGGTCAAAAACACTCAGCATCAAAAATAAGATCCAGATTTTCAACTCCAATGTGAAGTCAGTGCTACATACCATTCGGTTCAGAGATTTGCGCTGCGCATCATAAAGAGTATCTCAAACAAACTACAGACCTTCATTAACAGTTGTCTTCGCTCAATACTCAAGATCAGCAACAAAGATCTCTGGTAGCGAACGAACCAGCAGGAACCGACTGTGAAACAAATATGCAGAAGGAAATGGAGATGGATTCGCCATACTCTGAGGAAACAATGCATCAAGTGACATCACTAGACAAGTCATTGCTCGAGTGGAACCCGAATGAAAGGGAAGCGGCGAGTTGGTCGTCAGTGTAAGGGTGACTTGGAGGAGGTCATGTGAAGAGGAGATGAAAACGTGTGGGCAGACTTGGAGCTAGGTGAAGACTCTAGCAGAGAGGCGAAGGCAATGGAGACGTTTGGCTGAAGCCCTATGTTCCTTTAGGAACTAAAGGAAACAATAATAAATAATAATAATTGCGGACTAGATAAAAATATGAAAAATAATTAGCACTTAACAAAAGGATACATCCATCATAGCAATCATACTTCGGCAAGATTCCATACTGAATCCATCAAAAGTGAAGTCTATAAGAGAAATAAAACGAACAAACAAACAAAATATGAAATTGAAAAATGATACATTGCTAACGATTAATTGTTATATGACATAAATACTAAGACTATATATATACTTCAAAATGGCGTGATAAATCTCAAAGTAAACGACTCCTGGCGCACACACATACACAACCCTCAAACTAGACACACAAAACATTAGCTATGTAAAAAAGTGTGAAGGGAGTTTCTAGAAGATTATTTCCGAATATTCAGCCTTCTGTACTTCACTATATGCCATAAGAAACTCCGGCGCGTAACGAACTAGTCCCTCAATGAATATGCAGGAGGAAATAGAGATGGGTTGGATAGATGCGGAAGGGGGTATTGGGTGACATCACACTCCAGACCGTCGAGTGGAACTCATATGAGAGGAACCGAGCTGGACGTCCTAGAGTGAAATGGAAGAGATCATGTGAGGATGAAATGAGAACATATGAGCAGTGATGGAGTCAGGTGAAGAGAACTGCACACAGCAGAGTAAAATATAGAGGCGATGCTGAAGACTTATATTCCACTCGGAACGCAAGGGAATAATAATAATATACCTAATATACAGGCGTGATAACCTGCATACCTCATGTAGCCCAGTCGGTAGAGTGTCAGTTTCACTGTTCTATAGAGATCAGTATTTCCCTTCAGCAGCAATAACAGCAACCGTTTTTCCACCGAAATCAGAAATATTTGATAAAAAAAGTTTACTTGAGCTATTCTAACGATTAATTTCCTTGTTCTTGACTGTAGGCATTAAGAATAACACCACTTGTAAGAAAAGAACTTGTCAGCCAATGACATTCATTTAAAAAAATCCTTTCACCTTCCCAGTGGAACATAGGACTTCAAGCTAAAGGCTTGAAGTTTCTGTAGCAATGGTGATTATTTTTACAGGATAGGGTTGCTAGCCTCATGCACAACCTTCCTTCTTTACCAGTCTTATTACTGGCTTACCGAGGTAAAGGAGGGCGTCGGCCGGTGATCGAACCCCAGACCACATGCGTGGTCGGCAAGCACTCTACCGCTGTGCCACCGATGCATTGCATTCATTATGCCCCTGAGAAGCTAAAACCTGTCGTAAATATCATCAAGAATATAAGGAATCAAATCTCATCACCATCAGAAAAAGTGACTTTTCCAATACTTACACACAGGATATATGAATGAAAGACTTCACCAACACGACACAGCTAAAGTGAAGTAAAATCAAACGACTACTTTAATAAGGAGTCTAAATTTAAGTTTACCAGGTGTATATCTCAACAAAGTGCTCTTGAGGAGTCTCACTGTTCAACTCAAATTAATTACATTGTAAGTCGGTGGCACAGTGGTTAGGACTCTCGCCAACCAAGCACATGGTCCGGGGTTCGATCCCCTGCCAACGCATACCTGATATCAATGGTCGGCCTGCAAAATTTGGGCTACCGGTATCACATACTGAAAATTCCATACTTGTACCAAAAATACTGTGTGGAGTCAAGCTATAATCAAAATCAAAGTCAAAATTAGAGCGCTGAATTTGCTGCCTGTAAGAACAGTGAAACCTTTGCTATTAAATCATTCAGCTCAGAGAAAATAACAACACGGAGAACAACTATCTGAGCTACGAATCTTCTTCAGTATTTCAACACTTTACTGACTAGTTGAATGTTGTTGCAATAAACACATCAAAAATAATTGAAATAAAACCAGGTAGTATTAAATTACTTTACTTCATCATCTCATTGATATCCCTACATTAGGTTAGTTTTAATAAAACGTTGTCAGTAAAACAAACTAATGCTAACTAACTGCTTAGAGTAATGATAAATTAATAATAAACTATAAAAATCTAATTTATCAGTATGAAATTTATCCGCAAAAAATTGTAATCTAGGTACACTCAAAGAGCATTTGTTTAAATATATCAAAATCTATAAATCATAAAACCCTCGCGCGAATCAAAATGAAATTCTATGAATGCAAATTTGAAACCAATAAAAGACAAACAAACGGGGCACAGTGAGAACTTTGTAAAAAGACAAAAAAATAAACAATGAAATTCTATAAAGAACACAAATAAAATAACGTAAATCAAACCCGGGAGGAAATAATGTTCAATACAAAAACTAGCCAAACACATCTACTTATTGGCTTACATTCAAATGCATCTTCTAATTTTTAAGTTTGTTTTCAATAAATAGTCAAAAAAAATAGCAAAAGATTAAATACGGCTAACATAATTAACACATTTACAAATGAAAAATACAAGACTACACGGAAAATGATGTTCAGGATGAGAGAGAGAATAGTAAATAAAACTTCTTTTCAAATTCGTTAAATTTAAGTCGATGGAATCTGTAATGACTTCATCTTTGTGTAATGCAGTCCAGGAATGACGTTTACTGGAGCTGTTGATACTGGAAACATTACAGTGGAGGTAGTGGCAGTAGCAGACTCTGGTACTAGGAAATAGGAAAACTGTCTTCAATCGACAAACATGAGTGAGGCGATCTCAATTCCCTCAAATGATGATTATTATTGTTTATTATTGTATCCTTTAATTCCTAGAGGAACATAGGGATTCAGCCGTGCGTCTCCATTGCGTTCGGTTCTCTGCTAGAGTCTTCACCTGGCTCCGAGTCTGCCCACACGTTTTCATCTCTTCACATGACCTCCTCCAAGTCACCCACTCTTGCACTGACGACCAACTCGCCGCTTCCCTTTCGGGTTCCACTCGAGCAATGGCTTGTCTAGTGATGTCACTTGATGGTTTCCTCAGAGTATGGCCAACCAATCCATCTCCATTTCTTCCTGCCTATTTGTTTCACAATCAGTTCCTGGTTGGTTCGCTCCCAGAGATCCATCCCTGTTGCTGATCTTTTCTGGCCATCTGATCTTGAGTGTTGAGCGAAGACAACTGTTAATGAAGGTCTGTAGTTTGTTTGAGATGCTCTTTATGACGCACTGGCCAAGTCTCTGATCCGTATAGTAGCACTGACTGACTTTCCATTGGAGTTGGAAATCCGGATCTTATTTTTGATGCTGAGTATTGTTGACCTCCACACAGACTTGAGAGTAGTGAAAGCTTGTCTTGCTTTTCCGATTCTTGTTTTGTTATCCTCGTCAGTTCCGCCAGCCTGTAGTTGAAACGACGCTTCCCAGGTTGATAGGTGAAGGAGGTAGTTTCTTTCAGGTTCCTTCAATTTATGCTGATTGTTGTCTGTCGTTGTTGCTGTTGATGTTGCCCTGGAATCTTCATCACCTACCTCTGTTTTCTCTATGTTCACCCGAATTGAATTTCTATCTTTGATGCTTCTCCTATCCAACTTGTTGCTTTTCGCTTGCATATCTTCCAGTTTGTGGGAAATCAGACATATATCATTGGCGAAGGCCAGATCCTCCAAGTTCTTTTTTGTGTGAGTCCATTTTATGCCTGTTACCTCATTGCCCGCTGTTTGTCGCATTATCCAGACTACTGCAATCAGGAAAATCTTTGGCGATAGTAGGCAGCCAGTTTGTCTTACTCCTGTCCTCACTTCGAAGGATTCCGTAAGTTTCCCGTTGTGGATTACTTGGCACACAGCATTGTCGTACAGCTGTTGGATGAGATGTATAATTGTCGGTGGCACTCCGTAGCAGCGAAGTAGTCGCCAAATCACCTCTCGATCAATGCTGTCTGCTGAAGGCCTTTTCAAAGTCGATGAAGTTGAGCGAGGTAGAGAGGTGACTGCCATTCCAGGCTTTGTTCAATGATAGTTAGTTAAAACTCATTTACTCAGATTAGGTTTCACATATTCCAGTCAATATGTGTACGGTGCAGAGGACTGATTGTATTACTGAGCTGGGATTCAAAACCCAGGACAGTGAGGCACATATTCAAGTGTGATAACGATTTTTACGAGAAAATTCAACCGCCTTTATACATAACCATCATTTCTTTCTCAACAATTGTATTTATTACTTTACATGAGATTAATTAAAAGGTGTTTTCGAAATCTGAATTCGACAATCATTCATTTATTTATATCTGGAATCCCTGTAAGTTTATGGATAGTGCAAGTCTCCGAAGATAAGAAAAAAATAGTGAAATCCCGCTCACAGAGTTAGGATTATAATTAGTAGAAAAGTGGTTGACTACCTAGGTATTCTGACGTTGAATACTGAGTGAATGTCATTAGAGCTTATTATGCAGCAGAGGTACGTTGTCTCTTCAAAACCACCCCTATTCTATGTTCGAGAAATAAGGATAAACTACCTAATTTTGCCCTTTTCTATGTGTGTCTACCAGTTTGACTGCAGCTGCGGAGCCAGCTACATTGGGCGTACAATTAGGCAGGTTCATCGTCGTATTTCCGAACATCATCCATTATGGTTAAGCAAGGGACAAGATCTATTCGCAGTTCTATTTTAGCACACCTTGTTGATACTGAGCATAAGATTGATGTGAATACTGCATTTAAAATTATTTATCGCATTCCGACTAATCTTAACTTTACTCTACGAGTTCGTCTTCTACAGACAGCTGAAGCAATCGGAATCCACCAGAAGAGACCAAGCCTATGTGTACAGAAGAAATTTAGTTAGCCACTTTCTTTACCATGGCCATCGTTACAAGACAGGACTACATCGCCCCCCTCCCCCTCCCCCTAAACCTATTAAATTATAATTGTCCAAATTGTTTTATTTTTATTTTGACCATTTCATCTTTAATTACGTGTTATCCTTGTAAAATTAATTTATTCTATCCATTTCTACTTTTTAAATGTGTATTGATTTTCCGCGTTAATTATCAACCCATTGACATTTTGACACTGTTTAATTATTGTTAACAAACATATCACCACTTGTTTGGTAAACTGTTGTGTATTGTAATAAAAGTGCTATATATATTAGAGTAGAGCCAGTGATAAGGATCTAATTGAAAAGTAAATATTTCTTCGCTCAATCTTTCTGTTTTCTGGATATATTATCATGAATTTATTGAAATCAGTACATCGGTGGTCCAGCGGTAGAATGCTCGCCAGCTATGCGCGCGGTCTGTCTCCTAGCTGGTGCGTACCTTTACCTCCCTTAGTCGGTTTCAAGCACAATAAAAAGAGATGGCTTGGAGTGAGGTTGGAAACCCCAATCATTAAAAAACAAACGAAATTGTCACTAAGACTTCAAACCCCAAGCATGAAGCCCTACATTCTACTGGAAACACATAAGAATGAAAAGAATTTTCAGTGAAATAAGTTCGCATTCTCAGTCGATCCATCTTATCACTGAACCATAATTCTCCGTCTCTCCACTCATGTGTCAGCTCCTAGTACTGGCGCTTCGATGATGTCCATAAGTTAACTCACTGTCACTTAATAATTGGTGACTAGCAGAGGAATCAAAGACAGATGACTTTCGATCCTATTTCGTGTTGGTCAGCTAGACAAACCTAAATCCCATTGGTGGTGTTGAAATTCCACTTAAAACTCATAGTCTCAAACTTCAAAGTTCTTGTGGCCTTCCCAGGTCAAAGACCATCCTTTGACATTTTAAAAGATTGTCGACGAGTTCAAGTCCCGTTGAAGACACCATCACTCATTGAGAATGCAAGTACATTCAGATAATGAATCTCAAAAAGAACAGTACATGTCAACCGGTTGCTACTGACAACCAACAATTATCCTAACAATATTATTATTATTATTATCATTTTCATCACAAATATATACAAATAATTCTTTTATAGAAAAAAGTACTTTCCTAATGTTTTCCAGTATAAAGTCAAAAAATATAATAATAATTTAAAATCAGGTCTTCTTTATTAATTAGATACCATGGTAACACCTTTTAGAGTTTCTTTTTTAAATATGAAATTAAAAATAAGAGCTATTCAGTAGTTAATTAATTTTCTTAGTTAACTATTTACCGTGCATAGTAAGTAATGACCGTGTGACTAGTGTACATAGATGAGTTTATAAAGAGTTTATTTAAGATTCCACAATAAGTAAGTGACTTTAACAGTGCCTTGACTAACAAAATGTATTTCATAAGCTTTATACTAATAGGAGATCAACAGGTGAATCGTCAACCTCATTAGTAAACAGAGTGTCTCATTGCAGCGATATATATATATAACCCCAGACTTAAAGTCTCAGTAATCAAGGTGTTGTTTTTACGAGGTGAGTTTGGAAGCCACACGCCCAACTTTCCCTATTTCCTCAACCTTACTGTTGGCTGATAAACTAGACGAGTTCTAGGAATGCACTAGTCAGGAGTCGAACCCTGGACTGTGTCTGTAGTTGATGAGCATTCTACTAATGAACCACTAACGCAGTGTAATAATAGGTAACATGAGTTACGACCCACACGGAGAGGGAGGCATCAGCTCCACTTGAGTTATAACTTATGCCTTGCTGACAAGTGTTATTAAGCCCTAAACCCGTCTAATATTATTCTCAAATGTTTCAACAGATGAATGAATTATTATTATTATTGTTCCCTTGGGTTCCTAGTGGAACATAGGGCTTCAACTGCACGTCTCCACTTGCTTCTGTCTTCTGCTGTACTTTTCACTTGCATCCATGTTAGTCCATACTGTTTCAACTCTTCTTCACACGATCTCCTCCATGTCACCCTTGGACGTCCCACTCGCCGCTTCCCTTTCGGGTTCCACTCGAGCACTGGCCTGACGCGCGATGTCACCCAGCGGCCTCCTCAGCGAGTGTCCAATCCATCTCCACTTTTCTCCTGCATATTTGTTGGGCGATTGGTTCTTGTTTTGTTTGTTCCCATAGTTTCTTGTTGGTGATTCTTTCCGGCGGCCATCTGATCTTCAGTATAGAGCGAAGACAGTTGTTGATAAAGGTCTGCAACAGGCTGTTGGAAATATTCTTTGTGACCCGCCGCCAAGTTTCTGATCCGTACGTATAGAAGAACTGACTGACTTGACGTTTGTATTGAAAATCGGAATTTTGTTGTTGATAGTGAGTGACGAAGATGAATGAATAGTTAATATTTTTTTCATTAATTTTATAAAGTTCTTTAAAAACATTTTTAATTAAATGAACAATAAAATATCAAAAGAGATCGAGTTCAGTGTTAATTTAGTGCTTCCTGGCTATATCGTGATGTATCAAAAGTAAGTCGTTCCTCCCTTCTTAGCCAGCATCTACAACCGTAATGATTTTGAATTATTATCAGTAGGAAATGTCAAGAATGCCAGATCTAAAGATAATTAGCAAATGGTTGTTGTATGGGGTTCCAGTGATAGCTGTAAGAGTTTGCTTAACTTCTGATGTTCATTCATGATGTTCATTCTCAGTACTGAATTAAACGGAGTAGCCTTCAACAATACAGATAGATAAGATCTGTTATTCTTGCTCATATTTGTTGTACTATTTAATTTTCCTTTTATCGTCATTATCATTTATCCTCTACTCACTGGGTTGTACATTAGTGGAACGTGGTACTTCAGAGGTACATCTGCATTGCACTCAGTCTTCAGATGTCTCTTTCAGCTGGCTCCCATACTACTCACAAAGTTTCATTTCTTCTTCACATGATGTTTCGCATTTCATTCTCAGATGACCAACTTGTAGCTTCCTATTGGAGTTGCAATCGGAGAGCTAAAGTGTGATATCACTCATGGGTTTTCTCAGAGTGTATCCAATCCGTCTCCATTTCCCTCAGCATAATTATTAGGCGGTAGATTCTTAGCTGGTTACACATCAGACGATATATCATTATTATATCATATTATTTTTTATTGTTTCCTTTAATTCCTAGAGGAACATAGGGCTTCAGCTGCACGTCTCCATTGCGTTCGGTTCTCTGCCAACGTTTTCATTACTTGGCTCCACGTCTGCACACATGCTTTCATCTCCTTTGCACACGACCTCCTCCAAGTCATCCTTGAACGTGCAGCTCGCCGCTTTCCGTTCGGGTTCCACTCGAGGGCCTGTCTAGTGATGTTACTTGATGGTCTTCTCACAGTATGGCCAATCCACCTGCATTTCCTCCTGCACATTTGTTGTACAAACGGTTCCTGGTTGGTTGGTTTATTGCCAGAGATCCCTCCCTGTCGCTGATATTTTCTGGCCGGCCATCTCATCTTGGGTAGTATTGAGCGAAGACAGCTGTTGATGAAGGTCTGTAGTTTGTTCGAAGTGGCCTACGTGACGGGCCAAGTCTCTGATCCGTATAGTAACACTGACTTCACATTGGAGTTGAAAATCCGGATCTTATTTTTCATACTGAGTGCTGAGTGTTGATCTCCACACAGAGTTGAAAGAAATGAAAATTTGCCTTGCTTTCCCGAACCTCGCCTTGATATCCTCATCAGTTTCGTTCTCCTGTAGTTGAATCGATGCTTCCCAGGTTGGTAGGTGAAGGAGATTGCTTCTTTCAGATTTCTTCCATTTATGTTGATTGTTGTCTGTTGTTGTTGCTGTTGGTGTTGACCAGGAATCTTCATCACCTACCTCTGTTTTCTCTGTGTTCACCCGAATTGAATTTCTATCTTTGATGCTTCTCCTATCTCCAACTTGTTGCTTTTCACTTGCATATCTTCCAGTTTGTGGGAAATCAGACATATATCATCGGCGAAGTCCAGATCCTCCAAGTTTTTGTGTGGGTCCATTTTATGTCTGTCTCCTCACTGCCCGCTGTCTGTCGCACTATCCAGTCTACAATCAGGAAAATCATTGGAGATAGTAGGCAGCCAGCTTGTCTTACTCCCGTCTTCACTTCGAAGGATTCTGTGAATTTCCCGTTGTGGATTACTTGGGCACACAGCATTGTCGTACAGCTGTTGGATGAGATGTATAATATATATATCCATATTCGACTGAAATAAAGAGCCTCAGGGGTATATTTATATTACACTTAGTTCTCTGCCATCAATTTCATCTGGCTCCACAACTCCACACTAGTTTTCGTTCCCTCCTGAAATGATTTTCTCCACACGGAACTGATTGTTTCGCTTTAGGCACCCAGTCGTGGGTCTGACGCGTGATGTCACTTCAAAGTCTCCTCAATTTATGTTCATTCCACCTCCATTTCTTTTCACATTTTTTTCTGAGGAATAGGTTATTGGCTAGTTGGCTGCCAGACCATCAGTTGTTGGCGAACTAATGAATAAATAGATAAGCAACGCGTGGAAGGTAACGAGAACTTTGCAATTCAACTAATCAACTAACAAATAATTAAGTTGACATTTAGAGCAGGTGGTCAGCATAAAGTTTACACAAAGTCATATAATATCTTCTAACTGATTAGATGTATTGTTTCAATATAAGAAGTATGGGTCACTATGATGTTGAAAATTCTTCGGTATATTATTCGATGTCAACCTCCTTGGATGAGACTTATTGATTCTTTATCATCCTCAGAATTTTGGACGTATTACCAAATCTTCAACTAATCTTTGTCTACTTCATTTGTTTCGAATACTGTTTCAAAACAGAGCAACTTAAAACGGCAATCTTTGAATACTTCTATGCTGCCGTTTCATGTGTCATTATAGTTAACATAATTCAGTCGATTACTAAGAATTTTCAAACAATCAGTTAAATTATTCCATTATGGAGTTATACTTTACCACAGTGTCCGATTGGGCATGAAGCTAACAATCTTCCCCAGTGAAATCAATCTAGTCACTATGCAAACCTTCAGGAAGCCGGTCAACCGATGTGTTCTCTTTCGATGAAAGCAAAACAAACCATGACAACATGCAATGTCCTCACGATGTTCAAAGCTGGCTAGCAAGGCTTCTCACATTACAAACGAAATGAGGATATATAGTATATGGAAGAGTTAGGAATCTGTGAGAGAAGATGGAATGGAAGTGAACTCTCCAAATTGTTATCTGGTGAGTCAGTAATCTACTCAGGTCACCCAGACGAAAACCAAGAGCACACAATGAAGGCGTAGTTCTGATGATGTCACTGACAGTATCGAAGACTTTAATACAGTTGGAACCAATATTTTTAACTTAAAAGGAAGGAAGGGAAGTCGCAGTAATCCAATACTAAGCTCATACAAATAAGGCCTACCCATTGGAGAAGAAAGAAGACTTCGATATGATAGAGAAGATTTGTAGCTCAGGTGGGTGATTTTGATGTGGTTGTGTTCTCTGAGCTGGATAGTTAATTCGCGAAGCTTTCATCACCCTACTAGGTGACATCTTCAGCGCATACTTCAATTTGAAGTGAGCCTTTAGATTTCTCCACTAGTTTATTAATCTTCTGTCTTGGCGACCTTGGACGTGATTGGTTGTTTTTGTGTGTTTTCACACACACACGTTCAAATCTTAGACAGAGGAAACAACAAGAATGCTAGAGAATTTTTAGAAGCTTGGCGTTCCAGTGAATCATCAATCAATAGACACATCGAGATAGGCAAAATTTATCAACCGATAAGAAAGTAACCTAACACAAAGGGTCAAAGTTCAAGTAAAAGAAACAATGAGTTACAATACAAGTGACCTAGAGGGTGTGAAAACACACAAAAACAACCAATCACGTCCAAGGTCGCCAAGACAGAAGATTAATAAACTAGTGGAGAAATCTAAAGGCTCACTTCAAATTGAAGTATGCGCTGAAGATGTCACCTAGTAGGGTGATGAAAGCTTCGCAAATTAACTATCCAGCTCAGAGAACACAACCACATCAAAAAGAAAACTTCTAAAGACAAAGATAAACTGAGTAGAATGAAGATGTACTACTCATTTCTTCCCAGTATTACACTCGGAACTCAAAAGAAATTAAGTAAAACTTTACTTTACTTTACTAAACATACAGTTTTATCTTACCTCGTGTAAATGCACAATTCAATATATCACGTAATTCATCCGCATCAATTTCTCCATCATCTCCAGCAACTTTATTAAATGCTCGTTGTAATGCTTCAACTTGTACATCTGTCAATGGTTTCACAGTTGCCTAAGTTATAGTGAGAAAATAGAGAAATATATATATATATATATATACATGATTGCGTAACGATGACAGGAAAGTCAACAGAGCTAAACCATATTCTTCTTGAATAAAGGAAGAACAACGGTAAATGTATTAGAATAGCATGAGCTCAAGGATTTCTCGCAACTGACTATAACCTGAAGAAGACAATAATATACAAGCTACATAAAAGCTCTGAACACTTGAACATTCTACGCGACGATGAGGAGTAAGCGATAGGAAATAATGATAATAATAATAAGTAACATAAATTCGAAATGATGAAAGATTTTAAGATTTGAAAGGATTTACTATTTACACACAAGATAATGAGACGAATATTCTTGATGATATGGTTGGTAGACAGTCGGAAGGCGTTAAAAACAAAATAATCAGCAGGTAATTAAAAACCAAGTTTGGTGTATTTTGCTGAAGCAATTGACATCAAACAGTTAAAATCAAATGTAATCGGAACATGGTGATTTTGAGCGAACAATTAGTTTTCGATAACTTCTTCCTCACACCCTACACAGTTATGTTAATCTATGAATTTTAGAATACAAATAGCACAAGTAAAGGCAAATGAAAATTATATCAGAAACTGTATTGTAGGAGTATATGTATGAGATGGAATGATCGTTTGTTAGTTAATATTTTCAATTGAATGTAATATAAAATGTACAGTCCTTCAGAATATAAGGATAAAATGTGAATAGACAACTGGGTAACATACTAATGAACCTCGCCTAGATTACTAGGTCACTAGTATTCTAGCCGGTCCCAAGCCCGGATAAAGAGGGAGGGTTGGGGCGTGGTGCTAGCAACTCCACCCCCAAAACTTAACCAAATTGCTACTAAAACTTCAACGCACAAATATATTCAAAATTCTAAAATTACAAATAGTGACCTTATTTTTCGCTGGAATCGGGGAAGTGAAATGACGCGGGCTGGTGAAAGCCTTCGGGAAGCCAGTCAGCCGATGTACCTTCTTTCGATGAAAGCGAAAATAAGGATGGGGACGTGGAATGTTCGTACAATGTAAGAAGCTGGGAAGGCTGCTCAGGTAGCCGCAGAAATGAGGAGATATAGAATAGAAGTGTTGGGAATCTGCGAGAGCAGATGGAACGGATGTGGAAGGAGCCAACTATCAACTGGAGAGACAATAATCTACTCCGGTCACCCAGAGGACAATCACGAACACACCGAGGGAGTAGCCATCATGATGTCACCAACAGCGGCTAAAGCTCTCATGCAGTGGGAACCAATCTCCTCCAGGATAATGACAGCCAGGTTCAACTCAAAAGGAAAGAAGGTTACAATCATTCAGTGCTACGCGCCTACTAACGCCTCAGAAAAAGAGAAGAAGGAGGATTTCTACAGTCAACTACAAACAGTAATGGACAACGTCCCAAAGAGCGATATCAAAATCCTGATGGGCGACATGAATGCGAAACTGGGAGGAGACAATACAGGAAGAGAACTCACCATGGGTCGTGAGGCCCTCGGTGAAATGAACGACAATGGTGAACTTTTCTCAGACTTCTGCGCATTCAATGATCTGCTGATTGGTGGCAGTGTGTTCAAACACAAGGATATACACAAGGAGACATGGATTTCACCAGATGGACACACCGAAAACCAGACAGACTTCATTTCAATCTCAAGGAAGTGGAGACGGAGCCTACTGGACACAAGGTCGAGAAGAGGAGCAGATGTGGGTTCAGACCACTATCTAGTACAAGGGACTTTCGAGCTGAAGCTAAAAGCCTCGAGGATAGCTGGGGATAGGCCATAATGCAAGTTCAACTCTCAAAAACTGAGGGACACAATCACAAAGGACACTTTCACTGCAACTGTCAGAGCAAAAGAGGAAACACTACGTGGCACCACTGAGGAATCACCCGTGGAAGACCACTGGAACTCTCTGAAGGTAATTTTCAACGAAACGTGCTCAACGGTTTTAGGAAGAAAGAAGAAACAAGACAAGGAATGGCTCTCCACAGACACTTGGAGGCTAATAGAGGAGAGGAGAAAAGTGAAAGAGAAAATGATTCAATGCAAAGATGGACAAGAGAAAGAGACGCTGAACTCAACTTACACAGCACTGGACAAAGAAGTGAAGAAGAGTGCCAGGAAGGACAAAAGACAATTCTACGACAACCTGGCTACTGAAGCTGAGAATGCAGCAGGCAAAAGGGACCTGAGGACACTATATCAGATAACCAAGTCTCTATCCGGGAAGAGATCAACACAAGTGAAACCTATAGAAGACAGCCAAGGGAACCCAATTACCAAAGAAGAAAGACAGATTAAACAATGGGTGGACCACTTCAAAGGACTCTTGAACCGACCACCACCTACAACCCGTCCAGTAATACCAACAACAGCACGTACACAACTGCAAGTTGACACCAATCCTCCAACGAAAACTGAAGTCATGAATGCAATCAAGCTTCTGAAAGCTGGAAAAGCAGCTGGACCAGATGGAATACCCCCGGAAGCACTGAAAGCGGACCCAGAAACGACGGCAGATATGCTGACTCCATTATTGCAAAAGATCTGGAAAGAGGGAAAGGTGCCTACTGACTGGAGGAAAGGTTACCTGGTGAAACTACCGAAGAAGGGCGACCTGGGACTCTGCAAGAACTGGCGAGGAATCATGCTCCCGTCGACGCCAAGTAAAATCCTGAGTCGCATCATCCTGGAGAGAATCAAGGACGCGCTGGATACAGAACTCCGACCAGAACAAGCTGGATTCAGGAAAGGCAAATCATGTTCTGACCAAATTACAACTCTACGCATTATCATCGAACAAAGCATGGAATGGCAATCAAATCTCTACCTCAACTTCATAGACTTTGAGAAGGCCTTCGACAGCGTTGACCGCGAAGTAATTTGGAAACTACTCGAGTACTACGGCGTACCGCAAATATTCATCAACCTTATTCAACAACTGTACGACAACGGCACATGTCAAGTGATCCACAACGGAAAACTCAGCGAAGCGTTTGGAGTAAACACAGGAGTCAGACAAGGGTGCTTATTATCACCAATGATATTCCTAATTGTGGTGGACTGGATTATGCGTCAGACAGTGGGAAACGAGAAGACAGGGATATCCTGGACCGACGTGAAGAACCTAGAAGACCTGGATTTTGCGGATGATTTATGTTTGATGTCACACAAAATCGAAGACTTACAAGCGAAAACCGACAAACTGGTCGAAGAAGCAGCAAAGACAGGATTCCAGGTGAACATAGACAAGACGGAGGTTATGAAAATAACCAACCAACAACAACAACAGCATCAGCAACATTCAGCGCCAATCACTATCAACGGAAGGGATTTGAAAGAGGTTACTTCATTCACTTATCTAGGGAGCATTGTCTCAACTACAGGAGGAACGGACGAGGATGTCAAATCGAGAATCGGGAAGGCGAGAAACACATTCATCAACCTGAAACCAATCTGGAAATCTTCGTCACTCACCATCAACAACAAAATTCGGATTTTCAATACAAACGTCAAGTCAATTTTGCTTTACGGATCAGAAACTTGGCGGGTCACCAAGAATATTTTCAACAGGTTGCAGACCTTTATCAACAACTGTCTTCGCTCCATACTGAAGATTAGATGGCTAGAATGAATCACAAACAAGAAGCTATGGGAACAAACGAAACAGGAACCAATCGCCCAACAAATATGCAGGAGGAAGTGGAGATGGATTGGACACTCGCTGAGGAGGCCGTTGAGTGACATGGCGCGTCAAGCCCTCGAGTGGAACCCGAAAGGGAAGCGGCGAGTGGGACGTCCAAGGGTGACATGGAGGAGATCGTGTGAGGAGGAGATGAAACAGTATGGAATAACATGGACGCAAGTGAAAAGAACAGCAGAAGACAGAAGCAAGTGGAGACGTGCAGTTGAAGCCCTATGTTCCACTAGGAACCCAAGGGAACAATAATATAATAATATAATAACATACTAATGTGCTTGTGGTCAACAGAATGTTGTAAATTTCATTGGGGGTGGTGAGGTGAGTTATATAGGTGAAACTGAAGCTGTAGATATTATTGAGAAAAAACCTGACGTGTGTATGCAAAGGGGAGCACAACCATCCTGATTGTTTACCTTGGCCTACTGTAAGGTGGTCAGCTGGGACATAATCATGCATATTTTCATGTTATATTATGTCTTTCGTATTCCTTTTCGCCTATTTTACTTCACTGCATTATTATCCTTATTATATGACAAGCTTTTATAATTTAAACTAAGCTTATTATGTTTTAATTGAATTTGAAATGCAGGTACATCCAGATGACGAGTCCCAAATAGGACGAAATGCGCATCCTGGATTCCACTGCTAGTCACCATCCACCAATTAAAGCTTATTATGTATCTGGTATTTTATTACAGTTCACAATTTCACCTCTTTATTTTAATCATCTACACTTGATATCTGTCAGCTTTTGCTTGAACTTACATTCCGTGTTCCTCATTTGTTCGTATGTGATTGTATGTATTTTGTAGTAATCATATATCTCTCTCACACTAATGAATATTGCTCTCTACCCACAATGAAACTTACTGAGATGAATTATATTTTCAATAGTTGGTTTGTAGGGATTAAATTTGTTTTACACACCAACTATTGAAAATTAATCTGATGCTCGCTAGTGACTTGCTTGCTACAGGACGGTGTTTCCTGGAGTTCCAGTGAGAAGTCGTGACCAGTGAGGTCCATTCAGTCAAGTGTGAGGATGGATGTCCCACCGGATGATATTGGTTGGTGCCAGTTACACTAAATCACGAATTGGTAGAAGTTGAAATTCATAGGTTGGTCATTGAATCGGGTGGGATCCCATTGGCTGAATGGTATATGAGCTAGCTTGCCCTGTAACCGAAAGGTCTCGAGTTCGAATCCTGGTGGTGGGTGCGTACTGCCGATGATTCCCAAACTAGGGTGAAACATCTGTCCAGTACTCCAG